GCAGTAAAAAAATTTTGATTACCCGTTTATGATACAAAAAACTAAAAATTTACAGTTTACATAGAAAAAAATTCAAAGACATTTTTGCAAAAAGATTTTGTACAGATTTTTGTAGGCCAAACATATTATAAAAATGTTATAGTACATTCAATTCTCTTTATAGAAATGTATAACACACGGGGAAAATATTTTTATTTACATGTGTTATGTAAGAAAATACGAAAAATCGCAAGGTTTGACACGTAAGACGAATAATTAGTAACTCGGAGATAGCTCATGTAAGGTAATTAGTGATAGTAATATAGTACACATATTCTTGTAAGTTATAAACTAAGGAATACAAATATGTCACATTGTAGGCAGTAAAAAATTTTTTATTACCCGTTTATAATACAAAAAAACTAAAGATTTGCCGTTTATGTAAAAATAAATTCAGATATTAGACTTTCCAGTAGGCTTATATTCATGCATAAAGATTACTGTTAGTCATAATACCCCCGCCGCAGCAAACCTGCCGTCTAAGCGAATTTCCATTTGGCTGAATTGATTTTCAATCGATCTATTTAAATAACATTAGGTTTAACGAGTACCTAGGTTTGCTGCTACAAGGAAACTAATAAAGTGTGTATTTTAAGTAAAATAATTATTGCTTAGTAGAAAATGAATACATTTGCCAAGTTTGATCAAAATATATCCATAAACAAGCAAACTACAACATTTTAAAATATTCTCCATAAGAATAACATGGGAATTTTAAATTTAAAATTTTTTTAGTTTTCTCCGTAACCAATAACCGTACAAAAACACTTTGATATACTGAATTGTTTGTTTTTTTAAGCTCTTTAAGAAGGTTTAGAGAAAAATCGGGAAATTTTGTGTTTTGAGGGTCAAAAGTGAGAAAAACCAATTTTTACCCCATAAAACCCCCCATAAAACCCTGTTCCCATGGTCCGATCATGCTGGATCGCGAACTCATTCAAGTTTATCCCGCCTTACACCTTCAAACCAAATTTCATCAAAATCGGATAAAAATTACTCAAGTTATCGTGTTCACGGACACATATATATATAAATCTATATATATATATATCTATATATATATATATATATACATATATAAAAATTTGAACGAATGGTGTTTTTGGCCTCTGGGGACATCAAAATGAAAAAGTAAATCGGTCCCGGGCCTAAGTCTTACCATGAGACCTACGGTAATAGCTACTTCCCTATAGGGAAATTCGCTAAAACACAAAAACATTACTAAAATACCCCCGCCGCAGCAAACCTGACGCCTAAGCGAATTTCCATTTGGCTGAATTGATTTTCAATTGATCTATTTAAATAAAATTAGGTTTAACGAGTACCTAGGTTTGCTGCTACAAGGAAACTAATAAAGTGTGTTTTTAAGTAAAATAATTATTGCTTAGTATAAAATGAATATATTTGCCAAGTTTGATCAAAAGATATCCATAAACAAGCAAACTACAACATTTTACAATATTCTCCGTAAGAATAACATGGGAATTTTAAATTTACCATTTTTTTAGTTTTCTCCGTAACCAATAACCGTACAAAAACACTTTGATATACTGAATTGTTTGTTTTTTTAAGCTCTTTAAGAATGTTTAGAGAAAAATTGGGAAATTTTGTGTTTTGAGGGTCAAAAGTGAGAAAAACTAATTTTTACCCCATAAAACCCTGTTCCCATAGTCCGATCATGCTGGATCGCGAACTCATTCAAGTTTATCCCGCCTTACACCTTCAAACCAAATTTCATCAAAATCGGATAAAAATCACTCAAGTTATCGTGTTCACGGACACACATATATATATATATATTTTAATTTAGGTGTTCACTTATTAGGGCTGCTGATATATATAAACATCAATGCACGTAAAACTAGTCGCGGGGCATTGCGGCTTATGGGAGTGAACACACTCATCTTATCTCGCTGAATTTTTTCCACGGACGTTTCTATACTGTACAGTGAGCGTGGAGGGGAGGGGGGCGAACACGGACACGGACGATTTTTATTGCCAGTGTGGCATGCTCTATCAGTCTCACTGGTTTGCCCGAAAAACCAATCTCGTAAGACGAGTGTGGCCACGGGCAAACTGTTCCACGTGCGTCGCACGTGAAAACGGAAAAAACAGTCTCGCTGGTTAAAAATTACAAGTGTGGCCCCGGCCTAAATAGGAAATACATGCAATTAGTGGTACCAGTCCATCTATAGGTATCTCCATAATGTGACTAAATTCCTTGGTATTTATTCCGTATAGGTGCCTCCAAACGAATTTTTAATTTTGATATCTTACCTTATAGTTTTTTACCTCCTGAATCCAAATATACCATTATTTTTTACCGCTGATGAATATTTCTCAAGATATCGCCGTAAAAACATACTTAACTTTACAATAAACAAGATAGGATGGATAACATTTCAAGTGATTATGTACTGTAGTCAAATAACTTAATGTTCTCTATAACAGGAATTTCGTCACATTATGGAGATATAGATGGACTGGTGGACTAATTACATGTAGTTCTTATTTAGGCATGTCAGGGTGGTAGGTCGTGCTGTATGTGAATGTGACTGCATTAAGTGTTTTGAAGTTAGAAAAAGATTAGGAAGGTAAAGTTTAGGTTATAATGTATCGAGTTGTTAGTTTATGTTGCCTGCAGACTGTTTTTGTAAAATTAAAATCCTGAGAAAAACACTTCAAATTACTTTTTCAAAAATGCTTGAACAGTTATGTGTTATTACAGCAATATCTTGAGAAATATTCATCAGCTGTGAAAAATAATGGTATAACTTATTTGGATTCAGGAGGTAATTAACTATTAAGTAAGATATCAAAATTAAAAATTTGCTTGGAGGCACCTATACGGAATAATTACCAATTCCTTTTATAGAAAACATTATTGACTACACAGAATCACTTGAAATGTTTCTAAGTCAATGATGCTGTTTAATCAACGATGTTATTCTTCTCATCAACCATGTTAGGGGGGGGCTCTTCACTTAACCTGAACTTGTGACGGTAGCAGACTAACCTAAGTTAACTTAGGCCTATAAGGTAAACAGCCCCAATACCGGCAGGGGCCCAAATACCGGCAGCGGTGACTTCTACGTCATTTAACAACACTTTATAACATTTGAAATAGCCATCTTATTTGTTATTGGCTGTTACATCAACTATTCATCTGTAGAAAAAAAACAATTATAACACCTGATTGGCCTATTTCACACATTTAGTGACAGTTAGAATGTTGGTAGGTTAAGAATTTGTGCTGTCACCTAATTTTCTTCTTGATTTCTCTAAGAATACAAGTGATTGAAATAAGCTTTTACTTCAATAAATTACGATTCTTCACTAAAAATTGAATATTTAATTGATCATAACCCCATAACTAACCTAACTAACTGTATTTCGCCCTTGAAGTTTACAAAATAAATTTATAAAACGTCTGCCGGCGATGGGGAGGTCATAAATTGGACTTGTCCTAATTCCGGCATACCTGTCCGGTTATTGGAATCAGCGCTATTCATGCCGTTTTTGTTAACTTTTACTTTAAAAAATGACTATCCCTGCTATAAAAATGGTCTTCAGATACTTTTTAAGTTTTAAGTTAGGCCTAGTTTACGTATAATGCTGAAAAATGCAAACATTACAGGCACTAGGCCCATAAGGATGTCAACACCCACCATTCGCTAACTTAAGATGAATAATATGGTAAAAACTAAGTTAATCTTCTGATCAATTTCAAATTGATTTAGTGTTGGATTACTAGTTTATGATAGAAATCACCATATTTTATTATAGGAATGAAAGATAGAGCCTCAAAGCTCTTAAAACTTTGCACAGCCTTTAGAACATCCCCTAGGTGAGGTCATTGCACAATGCACACCACTCCTGTTGAGGAATGTTAAATGCACCCTAAGCTGTTATTAGGAGAAATGTTTGCATGAGGTCATTGCATTCCCACCAATGACTAACTTAGGAATGGATTGCACCCTAAGCTGGGGTAAGGTGAAATATTTGGATGAGGTCATTGCATTCCCACTAATGTTTAGGAATGGCATTCACCCTAAGCTGGGATCAGGTGGAATGTTTGCATGAGTCATTGCATGAAATAGTTGTACAGAAACTTTACTCAGCCATCCAAAGATAAGAAAATGCATCTGATCAAAAGCTAGTCAATATATACAATTTATCTGGCCAATATATGCTTAAATACACTTAACTTAAGGTGTATACACAGGGTGCCGGTATTAGGCCGGCGGATGCCGGAATTAGGGTTCTGCCATGCCGGAATTGGGCAAGGGAGGTAAAATAAGGTACCTAAAGTATATCTCTTATATACAATTTATTTTACAAAATATTTTGATAAAAAGTGTTTTTTTTAATCCTAGAAATGTGTAGGTCTGTATAAAATCAGTCCCATGCCGATAAGTTATTGGCTTCTCCCTTTAAAAACATATTTATTGAAGAGTTTACCTTAACCTGCCGGAATTGGGGCTGTTTACTGTAACTTAGTTAAATAAATACCAATTGGCCTAACAATCAATTGAACCGGTGGAGTAGTTCCCCACCTTTACATCTTAGGACGCTAAGATTCTAGCCCAGAACTGATTCACATTAACTTACTTCAGGATAAGTTAGTCCCTATAGGGTCGCGGAATTATCACATGGATAAAATTCATTGATGATTGGTAGGATTTGAACCCAGGACTTCAGGCTCCTAAGGCTCAAGCTCTAACTTACCACTAGACCAGCTTGGTACTAGTGAAGGAGTATGCTTATTGCTTATCAGTTCTTCCTAAATAGGTAACCAAGGTTACATAATCAACACTTAACTTACTAGGCCTAGCCTGAGTTTTGAGGACTAACTTTAATTAAAAAAATTTTATATCTCGAGTCTGGCAGTTAACAAGTCCATGCATGAGTCCAGTGTAAATAATTTAATTAGCATAGCCTATATTGTATACAGTAATTACCAGGAAAGTTGTTACATGATTCACTATCCGACCTCCCCAGAAGGGGCTGGTTTTCACGATTAGTCCTTGGAGAATCAATTGTGCCACTGTTACTTGATCCTGGCGCAAAGGCCACGTCTGGCAAAATACTTTGTTCAGCTTCTGATACACCAGAAGAAGATAGAGAAACAATAGAGGTTGTTCGGTCTTCAGGTTTAAATGACAGTTTTAACTGTGATTGTTCTTCTGTCATCGAACTACAGCATTGACAACCAGGTTAAGTTCATAAAACGCCTGTTGTACTAACCTATTTACTGTATTGTGTTGTTTAAAATTGAAAATTAATCACTCAAGTGTATGAATAACTAGTTATTAATTTATAAACAATTGATTGTAACTTATCAGAAACACATTACAACTACAAGGTAGCCTAGCTAAATAAACCAGACACCAGACAGACAGACCCCGGACCTCGGTTGGTTCAGTCGTTCAGTCTTCAGTGTTCAGTTCACGGTCCGCACAATTTGTTTTTCAGGATTAATTTTGCCAACAGTGTCATTTAGAGGCTTCTGATTGACTATAACGAAGGTTTAGTAATTGAAAAATTATTTTTGTTCATAGAATAAAATTATAAATGCCTCAAATTCAATTTATATATATATATTTTTTTAATTAAACCGTCATAACCTAACCTAACCAACCAAACGTGCTGACAATGAAAAAATCTAATGAAGGTTTATTAATCGAAACAATAGTTCTGTTCATAAAATAAAATTATAAATGCCTCAAATCCTATTTTACAATTGTTTTATTCTAAAATTAAACTATCATAACCTAACCAAACTAACCAGACTTGCTTATAATGAAAAATCAAATGAAGGTTTAACCGAAAAAAAATATGTTCATAAAATTAAACTATAAATGGGTCAAATTCAATTTCGTAATGTTTTAATTATAAAATTAAACCTTCATAACCTAACCAAACCAACCAAACTTGTTGATAATGAAAAAAATCCAATACAAAAAAATAGTGCTACGGGTGGGATTTGAACCCGGGTCCTTCGGATCATCAGCCCAGCACTCTATCCACTACACCACCGAGGCCGATGGCATCAACCGTATCGTCGCGGTAATGATGTTCCCTCAACCAATCAGAAGCCTCAAAATAATACTGTAGGCAACACTAATCCTGAAATAAAAATTCAGCTCGCGGTCCACGGTTTGGGTTGGGTTTACGGTTTAGGTTTACTCAACTCACTTCATCAACACTTCAAACTTCAATCCACCACGTTCACTGTTCCCCACTTCGTTTCACTCTCATACTCGGTCTCGTTCTCTGTTCTCTCTCAATGACTCACTCATTCAGTCTCACTTCACCGCACTTGAATCACTTCTCATCTCACTAAAATCTGGGTCTGACCATAGATAAAACCATTAGACTTCTCATCCCATTGTAAATTTTGAAGCACGTTTTTCGTGTCTAGTTCATGTACGTGACACATGGGCGCCAGTGTCGACGAAACTTTGTTTCTGTTATTTTAGGGTTAATTTCTTGATTTGTGCTTTACTGTTTGGTTATATAACTAGGGGACAAGTTATTGTTTATGATTAGATCGTATTTTTTGGTTAAACGAGGTTTTAAATGGCTGTAATAACGGGAAACAAATTGTAAACACGACCTCTACAGAAAACCGTACAGAACTAACAATAAAATTGTCTTCAGCTGTTCCATAAGGATGAGAAATCTACTAAGGGAGTATGTTTTATCTAGTTAAAACATACTATCTTTTATCTAGATAAAACATACTCCCTTAGTAGATTTCTCATCCTTATGGAACAGCTGAAGACAATTTTATTGTTAGTTCATGTACGGTTTATGTAGAGGACTTGTTTTGTTTACAATTTGTTTCCCGTTATTACAGCCATTTAAAACCTCGTTTAACCAAATAATACGATCTAGGCCCGGTTTCCCCAACTCATTTAAACTTGGTTTTATGTTAAACGGCGATTTAAACTTAGTTTAACTTTGATTTGGGTTTCTCCAAATTTAAACTAGGTATTAATCTAAGTTCAAACTAAACCACCTCTCAACTTGGTTTAACTACTGGGGATAAAATAAACTGAGTTCAAATTAGTAAATTACAACGGTAACATAACCTCAAATAATTCCAAAACAATAGGTAGCCTAGGTTAATTGAAGTAATAACAAATTTATTTGGACGAAAATAGGCTTGGCTTAGGGCTAGCTTATATTGTAAAGGCCTATAATTATGTTAAGTTTTATTTGTATTTTAATTTTATTTTGTTAATTAAGTTCTTTTTATTTGTACATATATTTTTTTGCAAGTTAGGCTACTATTAATTGCAGTATTTACCGTAACTCAAATGGAAGAGTTAGGCTAATTGACGTTTTCGAAGAAGTTGAAGATAAAGATTTTAACACTTTGGGACCAAAAACAAGAGGGCCTACTAAAATAAGGGACAGAATTCTTCTTGTTGTAAAAGAAAAATCAACTTCATAACATAACATAACCTTAAACAGTGATGTTATTCTTTCTAGCAGCATTCGCACTTTGATCGTCTGCTCTACCGAGTTGTAGCGAGCGTTGTAAGAAACACTAGCCCAAAGCCCACCGAAGATTCTTCAAATACACATTCAGGATTGCCAACCGCTCGAATTGCCGTTTATCTTAAACGAAGCCAGTAAAATGTTGGAGAAACCGAGCACGCGTTTTAAACGGAGTTTAAAAATAAACTAGTTTATTATAAACGTAGTTTACACCATTTTGGGGAAACCGGGCCCTAATCATAAACAATAACTTGCCCCCTAGTATTATAACCAAACAGCAAAGCAGAAATCAAGAAATTAACCCTAAAATAATTGAAACAAAGATTCATCGACACTAGTGCTTTTGTGTCACGTACATGAACTAGACACGAAAACGTGTTTCAAAATTTACAATGGGATGAGAAGTCTACTTGTGTTGGTTAGTCTATGGTCTGACCCTCTGACCTTGTGTTGGAGGGGAGGTACGATTGAGGCATTAGTTCAAAATTCCTCCGTGAACAGCGCTGTAGTAGCATTTTGGCAATGGTTTACTAATCGCAAAAATAGTTCTATTACCTATTACCTATTACCTCCTCTTCGTCTTTGACCAGCCAGGGCCAGATAGACAGCGTCAAACTTTTATAAATAAAAACTTTCTTTAATAAAACATATATTTAAAACTTAAGCTTTAGATGGCGGTGGGCGTTCAAGAGTTGGTGCTTCCTCAAAATACTCGTCAACTGAGTAGAACGGGTTTTGCAGGAGGAGCTCCTTGATTCTTTTCTTGAATATTTTAGGCTCTAGCTCTCTCAGTTGGAGCGGCAGGGCATTAAACATATGTACAGCAACTGCAGGGAAGCTATCTCATTGTCAGGGACAGTCTATACCGCTGGGTATTGAGCTTCTGTGCTCCTCTAACGTTGTAAGAGTGGAGCTGGCCTCGGAGTTCAAAATTGCTCAGGTTGGTTTTAATGTGAACAACACAGGCAAGGATGTACTGGTTATAGACTGTGAAGACGTTTAACAGATTAAAAAGGGGTCTGCATGGCTTCCGCCTCCTACTATTTGTGATTACTCGTAGTGCCTGTTCTGCAAGCGAAGCACACGACTCTGCTGTCAGCGGCATGTCCCCACAGTTGGATGCCATAGGCCACATGGCTGTGAAAAAGCTAAAAATAGACTGTCAGCAGGTACTGCGCAGTTATCTGGTGTTTCAGTTTTCTCAAGAGGAAAGAGGAAGATTACTCTACTTAGTCTTACACAAACAGAATTTATATGAGGGCCCCACTGTAACTTGAAGTCCAGGACGAAGCCAAGAAGTTTGACAGGAGGGTAATGAGATGGAGATGATCTGCGTAGGGTGAGCAGAAGCCTTTGTGTTTTATCTTCGTTGAGCTTCAAGTTATTTATGAGGAACCACTGGAACCAGTCCTTAGCCTCTTGGAATAGAAGTTCTGAACAAGCGACCGTCTCAGTAGGATCTTGCCCCCTGCCCAGCAGGGTTGTATCGTCCGCAAAGAGTAGAGTAACTCTATCCCAACCTAGGTCGTTCATCAGTATCAGGAAGAGAGTGGGGCCAACTATTGAGCCCTGCGGAACTCCGAACTTCGCATCGGCTGGGGAGGACAGTGCGCCCTGCACTGCAACCATCTGACTTCTACCTTCTAAGTAGGATTTAAAGGTCTAGAGGGCAACTCCGCCAACTCCATTGTAGCGTATTCTAAAGGTTATTTTAGAAATAATAAAAGTGGACTGCATATATGGGTTTATTAATTTAATTTTGCAAAAGAACAGAAAATAAAAATTATGGACTTTTGGTTTGATTTTGAATTTAGTCAAGGTTACCACACGTGAAGTTCTGGAAGGTCTTCAAAATGACAGTTTTAGAGTTTTTGAACTACACACCACAATTTCAGTTGAAAATAAAGCGGTCAATTGATTATACAAAGATAGAGTTTTGAATGTAATAATGTAAGAGGAGTAAAGTGAAAAAAGGTAGACAAAACTATGAGGAAGGTAAAATACATTGCACTGTTAACTAGAATGTTTATATTTTCAAATTTTTATTAATGAATTGTTGTGGCCATGTGGGGATTTTTTAATATGCTCTGTCTCTCTCTCACATATATGAAAAGCTGACCTTTTAAATACTGAACATCCATAATAGCCGAGCTTCTCAAGCAATGTGTCGTGGGAGACAATGTCGAAGGCTTTTGACAGGTCGCAAAGGACCAGAGCCATTGACTGTCTATTTTCAAAGGAGTCCAAAACCTCACTGATCAAAGGAGACGAGGGCTGTTGTTGTTGATCTCGACTTCCGAAACCCGTGTTGGGATGCTGTAAAGTAGTGATTTACTTCAAAATGGTCGACAATCTTCTCCACAATCTTCCCTACAGTCGTGATTATTGAGATTGGTCGATAGCTTGAGGTAAGGTTTGCGTCCCACTTTTTGAAAATAGGTATAGTCCTTGAGATTTTAAGGCAGTCTGGGAAAAGTCCCACACGCAGACACCTGTTTATCACCTCAGACAGAGGCAGTGATATTTCATTTATAACGGACTTGAGAATCCTAGGTGAGATTCCGTAGATATCTGGACTTCTTAAGTTGGAGATAGTCACCTGCAATGTGGACATCCTCTTTAAATTTTGTATCAAAAATCACCATAAAGCCGCGCCCACTTAAAATACGTGAGTTTGACTAATACAAAAGTTTACTTTATTGAAATTATTTCATTCTTTTTAGAGCATTTGAAGTCGGTTGTATTTTTTTACAAAAATAAATTATTTTATATATCAAGATAGTGTTTGTAGTTGTATGTCACGTTGTATACAAGCATTTCACTGTATTAAACAGTTTTCAATTAGTTGATTAATTAAACTAGCGTTCTAGTGATGCGAAACACCGGCTAG